AACCCCATTTTAGCTCTGATCTTTCACGCTAAACAAACTATTTTATCATCAGTATCTTTATTTCAATTAAAACGGATGACAAAGGTAAATAGGAAGGGTATAGAAGAATTATTTATTGCTGAATTAAAGAAACTGTAACATAAAGATAGAACAACTATATCACAATCACTTCAAACAGAAAAATGTGAATCATACTCGCATCTTCGTAGCTGGTAATACAATGCAAACACTACTGACAGTCTAGAAAAATTCCAATATTCTAGAAATGACGAAATGCCTGCAAAGTTTTCTTAAAAAATATTTTATACTTAAGTAAATGTAGACATATTAGAGGCAGAAATGAAAGTTAGCAGGGGTAGAGCTAGACCTAGATTAGATTACTGTTCGCAAATAGTTAAAGATATGGGTTGCTCTAGTTTTAGGGAAATGCGAAGATTAGCGCAGAATAGGAATGAGTGCAGGTGTGTGTCCAACCAGTCTTAGGACTGGCGACCTTATGATGATGATGAAACATAGAAAATGAAATAGGTACTACAAAAAGAATTTATTTGAAAAATGTATTTTGAGAATTCGCATTTTGCATTTAGGCGAAATCATTATCTGGTGTGTCTCTAGAAAAAGTATTTGAATTTTAGTATACAACTATATTTATCAATGACTTTAAACACTAAAATTTAAATGACATTTTCTTCTTCAGTGTCGCTGGGTACCTCTACTTTGTAGGCGATTTTTATAGGTATTGAGATGTGATGCCCCTTTTTGGCGAATATATGCAAATCTTTTTAGACAAAACGCAAAGTTCAAAATATCAAAAACTCTAATAAAGTAGACTTTCATCCCCATTATTGCTTAAACCCATGTATAATTTTCTCCAAAACATGATACCCTCCAACGCTTTCTTAAATAAGATTCTATTCGAATTCTTGCCAATTTTTCTTCAATATTTTGTCCACTTTATTGAATCATTAACTGTTGGCTTCGGTCATTTCATTTCTTTCTATTATTATCCCAATTTATACGTATATTGAGCCCGACATGTTCGTATATATTGTTCGCGGTAGGTAGCTGATTTTACTTCGTTCCTTTTTTATGAGAACTAGTTTTGAATTATTCGTTGTGTTCACTTTATAATAACGAGATTAAAAGCTCATGAGTATTCTTGCAGTCAGAATTTACGCCGACTCGACGCGACGTGAAGTCGTGATTTCAACTCAAATGTGTTACAACCATTGCAAATTGGATACACATTTTATATACAGAGCGATCAACAAAAAAAAAGCTGTTAAAGATTTAAATCAAGCCGGATCAATATCACACCAGTTCTACAAGTACGTACGCATTTCATATTTTCGAAGCTGGTGTTTATTATCATCACCATAAGGTCGTCAGTCTTAAGACTGATTGAATACGCACCTCTACTCCTTCCTGAGCTAATTTTCGCATTTCCTTAAAACTAGAACATCCTTGACTGTTTGCAAACAATAGTATAGCTTCCATTGACATACGACCTAATTAATTGCTTTTCATAAAAAAATAATGATACTTATGCTTTCTTTATAAAAATTTCGTGACTTCTTTTACTGAAGTGAAACTTCTTTACGCACGGTAGAGTAAGTTCGATTCATGCTAGTTACTATGTAACGAAATCATGCAACGCATTTCCCCCGCTGCTGTCCATATGTATGCTTAGATCTTTAAAACTACGCAACGGATTTTAATGCGTTTTTTTTAATAGATAGAGTAATTCAAGAGGAACGTTTATATGTATAATATATGCATAATATAGTAGAGAAATACTGATAATTTTAGAGGTTTGTAACGTGATGTCGTAAATAAACACATTTTTTGCGCTTACATTGCAAACGCTGGGTGAACACTACGAGATACATCAAAATAATATACTACAATAATGTACACCTTAAAAAGGTCTACAAAAAAGTCCGTGATGGCATATGTCTATCTCTTAGGGATAACCCACAATAATCATTTTTTATCTTTTACTTTCTACGAGAAATAGTGGCTTATTTACGAAGCATTTTAAGCAATACAGCATTAATCCTTATCCAATTAAGTACTTTTAAATACATTGTACATTTAATATAGATCAATATGACCCTTTACAGCATGTACTTTAAATGAATATTTTCGAAGATATTACAGACTTAAAATGCAGGGACATAGCGGTTGCGGCGGTACCGGCCGGATTGTATTGTCTAATGACAGAAAAGCTGTGATTGCACCCGTGCGAAGCATAGTGTACAAATAATACCATTAAACCAATTCCTTAACCCCTTTCCCGGTATGTTCGTGTGTTTGAAGAAGTTTCACTTCAGTAGCGTGTTGTATAACTACACGTTGTACTTTTTTTTTTAAGTACATGGTGCACTTAACAATTATAAGAAGTTATTGGCTGTAGTTCATGTACAAGGATTACCAGAATATTTCTGCCCTTTGGACCATGGGCATCATCATTATGTGTTTGAAAGCCACGGTCGAATCCAGGAGGTCATAATGACCTAACTATGTATTTCCATACCTCCGAATGCATAATTATTTTTTCAATTGTATGTCAATAGATAGAAGGCGATACAATCTTATAAGTACAGGTTCTCATTTAGCCCACAACCCTATACTCTAGAATTGATTTTAATTTAATTCAATGAACCGGCGATTGAATTATAGTAGGCTCTTAAAAATCAAATAAGATAAAAAAATAGAGATGCATTCGGATACTGATTTTAACCACTACTATTGAAGGTTCATGTCTTCGTTGTAGCGGGTTTTTCATTAAATAACACCCTCACCAACATCTAAAACCACATTAAGTTCCGTTGAAAAAATTTAAATACTAAACCAATGAAATTTGACTTCTGTTAGCGGATTTTCAACGAGAGGATTGGGTAGAAACCGACCCATCCCAATACAAACTTAATTGTCAATTTCTTTTAGGTAGGTTTTTTGTTATACTTATTAAATTATTATTGCTGATGTTTTTTTTGGTTAGAATTATCCGTCGTGATTATCCCGTACCCTGCCGGATCATAAAAAAACTGATATAATCTGACCGGGACCGAAACAAAAGTGATGACGCCTTCGCTTTGGACAAAGAAGTCCAAATAATCATCCGTTTTGAACGACAATGAACTAAATGAGCGAATCTAAGAAAACCGTCTGATTTTCGTGGTCTTTTTCTTTTGCAAATAGCCGGACGGTTTTAATATCGCACGATTAGTCACAATGTGCAGTTCTTTATTGTAATTTATTTTGAAGAGGGCAAGCTCAATGCACTTTAATGTGGTTTTAAATACAGACTAAACAACAATATCCCTGTACCGTATATATTAATACAAGCGGGTATCTCCGGGCGACATTAATTAACAATACTGCGTTTTTAATTCGAATTAATGGGACCTCTGGAATTTCAGAATTCTGTGCTTGTAACTTCATAAAAGAAATGCCGCGATGTTGGCAAAATGTTTTAAAAATCTGTCTGCCAGGAATATTACAAGTTATGATTATGAACATCTATTTATGAGGGATATCAAGGGCAGTATACAGAGCTAGTCATTTATATTGAGACAGTAAATTATCTTGATTGGGTCTCGTCATTTTGGGAAAAATTTTATGCAAATATTGTCTGCTGGTGGTCTTGAATGAGACCTTGACCCTGAACTTCCAGGTTATGTGCAGGTCAGATCATTTTTCACTAATAAGAATGCATATTTTTGACCTTAGCAATGGATCGTGCGGAAAATTTTGTAATTGGTGGTACTTTTAAAATTGGTTTGCTCTGATATTTTTAAATTTTAAAAAACGACTCTAATCTCGCCAAATAACCAACGATGTGTTCTGTATTTGAAATTTCTTTATTATAAAAGCGTAAAAGCGACGTTTCGACTGTCTATTTCAGTCATTTTCAAGCTCGAATTTCTATCATTGCTTGCATCTAATGTCGACTAGTATCACAATTGGTTTTAACACGGGTTTTCATATTAACAAACTTTGTCTTATTTGATAAATAGTAACAATATTATAGTGTTTACACTACCAAAAACTGACTGTGATAAATTTATTTATTGTTACTATTTATCAAATAAGACAGAGTTTGTTAATATGAAAACCCTTGTTAAAACCAGTTGTGATACTAGCTTGAAAATGACTGAAATAGACAGTCGAAACGTCGCTTTTACGCTTTTATAATAAAGAAATTTCAAATACAGAACACATCGTTGGTTATTTGGCGAGATTACAGTCATTTTTTACAATTTGAATTTTGAACACCAACAAAATTAGATTCAATTAATAATCTAATATTTTTAGTTTGTATTGATGTAAACAATCAAATGTCCGAAATATTTTGATTGAATATATATGGTAATTTGCAGCAAAGGTCTTGATCACCTCTCAATATTATAGCGAATCTCGAAGAATTAATTCCTTATTTCCTACCCCAAAACTGAAAATCATAACAATTAATAGTTATTATTCATACGTATTGTAATAACATTATTGCTGAAAGAAATACATATCAATAATAATAAAGAACGCAAAAAGTAAAAAAAGCCACACATCATAAAATACGTCACACAGAATTTCATCTTTTTGGACCCCTTCCTCCCCGTTCATTACGCTAAGTTACACTTTCAGCGACCATTCTGACAAATATTACATCACCTAAGCTACCCTTTTTCCCATCCTCATAAAACAATTTCTTGTAATTAAAAACAGCAACGAGAATGTCTTCCTACAGTGACGAAAAATTTTAAGAACTGAAGAAAGTGGTTAAAGGTAGTTGGTTTATCTATGTTGGGACGGTTTTTTTTGTCTCTTTTTTTTCTGACTCCAGCCATTTTTGATTCGTTTTAGAACTGTAAGAGTTTTTTTGGAACTATTTTTGCAATGGATATTTATTTAGTGAGGAATAATCAAATGCATTTTACATATTTAACTATTAAATAAAATTCTGTTCAAATCTAGCAATCGTATTTTGTTTATTTCAGAACAAGATAATAAATTCTGTTGTCTAAGAACTCTACCAGGAAGTGATACTAGGCTATTCAATATGAGACACCTAAGTTGCCAATTCACGCACAGGACCGGCTTCGGATTGTTAATTATTATAATTTTTTGCTTTTAACTACGCTGCGATTGTTGTTGCAGCTAGTTGACACCTTCAAAGCTCTGAACTTATTTCTGTAACACCCTGTATTTGATATAGGTAGGTATGTAGGTAGGTAGTCAATTATATTTTATTGACATTTAATGACATTAGAGAATCAACACACAGAAAATCGTTTAAAGCCCTGGTGTAATTTTCGTATCAACAAGCGTTACAGAAGATATATAATAATAACTAATTGTAAGATGGTTTCTTCAAATTCGCTATGCCCAGAGGAGCAGATTAGATTAAATCCACATCATTTCACAAATTTGTTGTTCTTACCCCTGATAATAATATAACATAACACGTTGATTACGTATCATCAACACTTGCAATGCTGTTGGTGCCGTAATGTTTTTAGCAGCATCCTGTGTGCATATACATATGTATACGTGATTAAAATGCAATTTAGCCACTCCTTTGCATTTGCGCCGCCATGGTCTTTTCTTTTCTTTCAGCGATAATCGCAATTGCATTCGCCATAAACAAGATCGCTCCACCTTCGGTCATTAGTAATCTAACGAGCGACGACCGCGGGATTAGATCTTTTCATATTTAATATAAGTACAAGAGTATTTTATAACAACAAACGCGATCTAATTGCTAATTTCAATTGGCTCGTTAGGCGAGACACCGATTGCCGCATTCTAAGAGACCGTAAACATTTGCATTTGTCAGTCAGGATATTCATTAATTCATCTGAATCAGCGAATGATTAACAACTACAATTATGTCTATAATACTATTCACCGGTGTTCTTCAACAATTTAGTGCTAATTATAAGCAAATAACGTTGCAATTTTATCATCGTATAAAATATTTAAAGTGACTTATTGCTTAATAGACTTTGTGAATATACCAAAAAAGAAGCCAAAAAATCGAAAGCTTTCGTATTAACAGATTTTTTTTGTTTCTGTGTTAGGGCCTATGATAGAAAAGGTCTCCCATTTTTAATTAAATTATTTTAACAATAAAGTAGTTTTTCTGAAATATTAATAAAATTATAGATCTTAGAAAAGATTGACGTACAGGGGTTTGTGCGTAATAGAACTATCTACAAATTGAAACTTGGTAAAGTATGAATTTAAATTCAATGCACTTGTGAATTAATTAATTAGTGCTAGAGTACTAGTGTACTAATTATTGGAAGAAATTTCGGGATCCTTAGCAATCTTAAGTGAATAAACAACATGAAAGACCTAGAATGTCTTTTATTATTTAAATTATTGTTGTAAAATGTTAACAGTATTTCCGTAAAATATTAACAAATCGACCATGTTTTACTCTTCTGCAGGCTCCATGAACTTGAAACTTTATAAGTATAATTGGGACATTCAAAATTGTCATAGTGCGAAATAACACTATCTCATTTACTTTCTTCTTTTAACTTAGTAACTAGTCTAGAGCAATTGCTGACAGAACGCCTACTTTTACTCACGATGGACGTTNTTTTACTCTTCTGCAGGCTCCATGAACTTGAAACTTTATAAGTATAATTGGGACATTCAAAATTGTCATAGTGCGAAATAACACTATCTCATTTACTTTCTTCTTTTAACTTAGTAACTAGTCTAGAGCAATTGCTGACAGAACGCCTACTTTTACTCACGATGGACGTTGTAGAGAATATCGTAAACATGGAAAAGAGATGCCAGGTACGAATTGCAGCGGTCACTAATAAAGAAAAAGGAATAACATTACACTGATTGATGTATAACAGAAAGAGATACAGACAAGCAGAATTTGAGCATGTTGTCAGCATCAGACTTTAAAGGAAGTTCAACATTCTCAAGAATTTAGGAAAAGTTAGATGCTTGTTTAAACATATAATTCCAACCAAGCAGTTATAAAGCCGACCCTGATCTTTTGCGTACCTAAACAACCTCTACCTCCTGCATCTCTTACTATTATTCGATTATCTCTTTTCACTTTGTACTACTCATGATGCATTTCCTAACTTAACAAGGGCGTTCAAACACAGCAAATGACTACAGTCTCAAATGGAAACAAGAAAGAAGATACGTTCATACTCGACTATAGTATATCAAGAGGGTAGACCAACTTTTATTCACCATTTCCTGGTCAACCACCCATACTAATGTAACCTAACCTAACATATTTGACAACCTAGTTACTTGTCATTCTAAAAACATTAGCCACTCAAACTGCCTTATTTTGACATGCATATATCATTATGGGCCTTGGAACATGTAATAGTAGCTTGCAAACGAAACCTTAGCTCCTGCCATTCTGTAGAGTCGATACATAGGAAACATTATTTATTGGACCCCGTATAATCAGTTTTAAAATTTCATTTGATTTATTTCCATACTTACCTACAACAACGTACAAAGTATAACATAATAAATACCTACAGCCACATCATAAAATACGCATTCAAGGAACAATTTTTAGTACCCTTGTGTAGGAAGCTGATTTTTTCTTTCCTTCGTTTGAAAACTGTTATTACCATTTATGCGTATTATTTACACACCCGCTTGCAATGAACCATTGCATTTTCTACATGTATGAATACTGTACATCGTGTCGCCTTTGTTAATGTTCATTTCAACATTCCACGGTATGAATTTATCTGTAAGTACATATATTTTTAGCGTCATTGTCGAGATATGAGTCAAGAGAACCGATTTGAATAATGCATCCGCTAATCATCCAATTTCCAACTGTTTATACACTGTATAGGAAATTGTTTTTATTTTTCGTCGCCTGATCGATCGTTGAAATCTCCAACTTATTACCGAGTTTTCTGCTTATGAGACCCGGTTTTGAAGCAAAATTTTGATGGAGCCGTATGCTCTCGACTAAAAAATATGTAGGGCTTAAATCTGAATCGGATTAGGCAATCTAAGTGCCCTATTAGGGATAAAAAAAGTAAATTTGATCTAATATAACTCCTCATATACTCCGATTGCGATCGGGCCACCCAGCAATCAGGAAGGATACCGTGTGTGATCCTGAATAAGTTGACTGCTAAGGGGCAGATTAGGGTGCTTTGTAAGGTTTTGATTAAAGTAACATATAAGAAGGGTAACTTATATGATGTTTATGAAAAGTGAATAACTTATTTGAGGCTGTGTAAATATTTTTGAAGCAAATTTAATTCTTTTATGTTATAAGAGGCTGCACCGACACCGTAGATGTTTCACGGCGCGTGGAGCGTGGATTGGCATTCCACGCGCCCATCGCCGCCATGAAATGAAGGCAAAGAAACCGCTAACACGCGCCTATCCGCTCCAGGCCGCATCGAACTCGCTACATGTAGCGTAGATTAATAATTGACTGCATTGTAAAGGTCATGTTACACGGCGGGTGAAGGTGGAGCGTGGATCGGCATTCCACGCGCCCGTCACCCCCATGGAACAATGGTAAAGAAACCGCTAGGATGCGCCTATCCGTTCCAAGTCGCACCGAACCAGCTACGACATGCGTAGATTAATAATTCACGCGTCTTGTAAAGGTCATGTTTCACGACGCGTGGAGGTGGAGCGTGAATCGGCATTCCACGCGCCCGTCGCCGCCATGGAACAATGGTAAAGAAACCGCTAGGACGCGCCTATCCGTTCCAAGTCGCACCGAACCAGCTACGGCAAGCGTAGATTAATAATTCACGCGTCTTGTAAAGGTCATGTTTCACGACGCGTGGAGGTGGAGCGTGGATCGAAATTCCACGCGTCCGTCGCCGCCATGGAACGATGGAAAATAAACCGCTAGGATGCGTCTATTTACTCCAAATCGCGCTGAACCTGTTACGTGGAGCATTGTTTGGCAATCCACGCACTGGGCCACAGGGGCTTAACATGGTCTTAATGGACTTCTTTTCATTTTATCAATTAACACTGTAATTACTATATTGACCTTAACAATTCATGGACTGTCAATTCCAGCACGCGGTATTCAATCATTTCGGTAATTGGTTCTTTAGCATTCCATTGTTTACATTTGATAAATTATCGATTACACGTCAAAGGAAGCATTATTTTGATTCATTTGTTATCAATTAATCTGGGAAATGATTACGAAATCCACGAGTTACTTTAACTGTTTCTAACTATTTCTATCAATGGTTCTTTGTAATTTTGTTGATGATATGTATGAACAACAACGACGTTAGGCACGTCAGTTGGGATGAAAGGAAAAGTGTAATCCGTAAGACTAATAAAAATTTCGTACTTAATCTTTCAACCAGTTTTATCGTGGCGAATTCTTGTGATATTCAATGCTGCCGCGGCATTTGAACTGAACGTCCGGAGATCTTGAGAACCGAGACCTACACACTTAAAAACACATTAAAGTCAATTGTGTGTTGCGCGTATTGTTGCTATTTTATCGGCGATCTTAAATCAAAGTGTCGCGGACATCGTGTCAGATTGTGTATATCAAACATGACTCTCGATTGCCTTCTTGGCGCTGAATAGTACAGGGTGTACCGAAAGTTTCGTGGGGTGCCGATAATTCAAAAACCAAAGGCTTAGTAAATGTGTAAAGCAATAAGTTATAGAATTTTTACTGACCACATTACGGTGAATTTAACATTCACTTTTACATTGCGACCGCTAATGTTGTTTTAAGAATAAGTTTAGCTATTTATAATGGAAATATTAAACCCCTATAGGATCACCTTGTTATTCCTATGTCATCAAGATCCTTTTCCTCATTAGTTAGCACAAACGTTATACCAAAAAGTATACATACATGGAGAGAAAAATTGGCATGCTCGTAACTATAAAGTGGGTATAGGAGACATGTATTGAGAAAATTCAATATTAGTTCAATAATAAACTATTAGAAAACATAAGAATTTTTACTGTGCTAGCATGGTAATTTTTCGATTATGAGTCAGAGGTACCCAGATTATGGAACAGCATGGTAATTTTTACAAGATTTTTCTCTCCGTTTACCTACGTGAAGTTAACATCATGGTACCTACGAAGGAAGACCTGTTTGAAAAGGTCAACTTCACCTTTAAAGTCACAATAAAGGTCAATGTCAAAGAAGTACGAAATAACCAGGGAGAAATAATGCAACTTTTACGTTTA